ACCACGTTCTGAATTTTCGTTTGCCACTTCTCAATTCTCAAAGGTAAAGGGCAAAATAGTAATGAAATAGAAGCAGGAGGTCGACAAGAGTTGTACGTGAACTTGTAATAAATGCAGAAAGCTGAAACTCATAACTCCTTTTCAAACTCGCACTTTCTTGTTTATCGGTGTTTGCAACTATTCTTTTGTTTGCGTCAGCTTTTTTTATATCGGTAGACGACAATTTCCATTTTATCCGAGACCATTATTTGGGATCCGATAACCCCAAGAAAGACCCGATCATAGACATGTATAGATGATTGATGATTCCAGTTTGTAATCTAAACCGGAACAAAAGGATATCCGAAGATAGTCCAAATCTTGATTTAACATTTTACTTTCGATCTCCAACTCTATGTGATCTGTGTATTTTTTTTTTGAATAACACGGTGTATTCTGATATTTATCAAGGTGGATCTAGATTAACGGCGAGTGTCCGTATCAGTCTACGTTATCACCCGGAGTACGTTTCAGTCACCGAATACTGGGAAATGCCACTTTTTAAATTTTACCTCCAATGACCAGCGAGATTTGAACTATGAATTCTCCAATAAGAGTTACTTCTTTGGAATGAAAAATGTATGAACAATATAAAGAACGATACAATAAGAATAGGTGCTAAACTAGAACGACCAGTAATTTCATATTCCCTACACTAGACAGAGTCAGTATATGATGTGATAACATCTACTTGAGGATGTGTAACACCTAAAATATACTTATGTCACAAAAGATCTACAATAATATTGCAGAAGTCGACGTAGTTAACTTTTCGTTTTCTTGCCAACATGGGATGATCTTTTTCATTAGAGTATTTAGTACTAATCATATAATAATGGTGATATAAAAGTAGTTAAATGAAATATTCGAAAGTTGAAAGAAGTGGAATTGGACAAGAGAAGAGTATAACAGAGAAAGGTTTGGTGTAAAAAGGCTGCAGAGGAGTTGTTGGTTAAAAAGTGAGTGAACTCGATAAACGCGTAACCCTAAAGGCAAAGCGTGCGTTACTCTTACCCTAATTATTTTTAATCTTTTCTACTTTCTACTTTCTCTTCTATCTATAAAAATGATAGTGCGAGAGAAGAACAATTATTACGGCGTTCTTAAAGCTATTCGAATTATATTCATAACGAATAAAATACTTCGGTTTTCTAGCCCTTGTTTGAAGCTACAAGTAGATGAATATCATGGTAAATCAGTATTTTATTGCATAAACTTGTTCTGATTTTTGACTATTAAATCTCACAAGACTATTAATTTAACTGAATGTTAGACTATCAATGATGAGAGGTGACAAATGAATTGAAGACAATGAGTTTGGTGTTAGAGTCTTTTTGCACTAAATAGATCGTGTATTAAATGGTCTCTAATTTGTTGGGTCGGCTCGCACATTGGCACATGTGATGACCTTACCATTCTTGTCTCTGCATTTAATTATTTATCCAAATAATGAGAAAAGTGAATTATATTTTTCTTTTTGACTAATGTCTTCTAAATTAAAAAAGTGAATTATATTATTGTTGAGATGAGTCGAGTTGGTAACAAAATCAATGTTACGCCTTTGTAGTTTCTTTCCTTGTTCCAAAAGAATGTCAAGCTGTCTTCTAGCAGTTAGTTATTGTAAAATTCGGTATAATTCAAGTTTTTTATCAGTTTGGTTATGTTTTCTTTTGGCTTTACAAACAACGAAATATATATATATATATATATATATATATATATATATATATATATATATATACATACCCTTTTTAATTAGATTATACTTTTTTCTTATATATGTTTTAGTTTTTCACACATATTAATAAATATATTAAATTTCAATTATAAATGCATAATTTTTTGGGATATTCTATTTCCTGTAATTTTAAATCAATAATAATTCAGTAAATGTAATTAATTTTTTTGAAGTTTATGATTGATTATTAGATGATAAAAATATATTGAAATTACAAAAATATATCTCTGTGAAACAACTTTTTTCCTTCAAATGCATTTTAAGAAACAAATGTAGTAGTGTATTTAAGCTGAAATTCGTATATTTTCCATAAAAAATGCAATACCATTAACCCAAGACTCAGTTGGGGAGGTTTTAACAACTTATGTGACGATTACGGTTGTTCTGATTAAAAAGTTATTTGTTCTTTTCAAAGTGATTATGACACTTTGGATTATATTTAATTTCGAAATCTTACGTGAAACTGGCACATGGTACGGTCGATTAAAAACAGAAGCTATAATAGTTGAAGCATGATTGACAAAAAAAAAACTTGTAAATATATTGTGCTGAAGACATTCAATCAACATTATGATCTTCAAGTCAAAAATATAAATTGATGAAACATTCGTGGATCTTTTCATCATTTTTCTTTGTTTTTCTTCAAAGTTAAGTCATATATCCGTTGTGTTCATCATCATTCATTGCGAGAATTCTAACTGAATTTCATTGCAAATTTTTGTTTTTTTTTTGTGAAAATTTCATTGCAAGTTTTAAACAACAGATCTATACACAAGAAATTAATAAGTAATCGAGTGTCCAACTTTTAGTTTCAAATCATCTATCAGTTTAACGGAGCCGTGAAACATTTAAATGTATTATTTGACTCTTTTCACACTATACATACGTTGAATTTGCACTGTCTCAATATTAAATCTAGTTGCAGGCATATTTTCACTTTTGTCAAACCTGTCAAATTGGGTATTAAATCAAAATTCCAGGAATCACTTGTTTGAAATTTTTTATATACAAAGAGACTTATTACGACCTTACTCTGACGGCATTTTTTATTTAACTCTTAATAAATAAGTGTATAGTTTTATGTGTTAGAATTTGTGTGCATGATCTATACCAAACATTTTATAAAACTGAGATAATATAGTTGTAACATTCTAATAATTCTTTTGATCAAAAAAACATTCTTATAATTGAGTTGAACAAAAAAAAAGTTAAAAAGAAGAGAGCTTTTAAATCGGCGGAAAAGAGATAAAAAGGCAAATACCCAAAAAGCTAAAAGCTTTTTCTGGCGATTCCTTTTGCAGGGATTGCGTGTGAAAAACAGATATTTCGTTTTAAAAGGTAAAATCCATAAAAAGGAATCAAAAATAATTTTTCTTTTTTTACACTCACACGTTTTCTCTTGCGCGTCAGTTACACTGCCATTACCCAATCATCAACAACAAAAGCACGAAAGTGATATCGTACACGCGCTACTTTAAACGTGTGAGAATGGTTTGGTCTCATCTCTCTGACTAGATTCAACTTTTTGTTGCGTCATCAAAACTTTATTAGTTGGTACCTTTCTTTTTAATTTTGTCCACACTCATCTGAAAGTAGCAACTAGTATTATTATTTTTTGCCATAATGTTTATTTAGTTAATTTAAATATCAATTCCAATATTTTCCAGAAAAGTTAGTTCTTAACCGTATCTCTATAATATTATTTGAGAAGTCAGTTTTCTACGTGTCGCGCTCACGTTAACTCTCGCGATGGTTAGTTACGTAGATACCTTTAATGAATTGTTAGATTTCAAGATTATTATTATTATTTTTATTTAGTTTCCTTTTTACTTTTTTCCAAATAATATATATAATAAATAGGAAATATTTCTAAATTGTAAAACAAATTTAAAAACGAAAAAATATATATATAATATGACTTTATTAAAAAGGAAAGTTCACAAAATAGTAATACACCCATTAATATATATTTTTAAATAACATAAAAATATATATGTTCATGAATATTCAAAAATAATCAGTTACAGTTAATTATTTTGTAGAATTTATATATATGCATGAGACTTCAAAATATTATCATTATATTCATTTATGTAATTTTGAATCAAACACTTCAGCTTATTATTTATTTCATTTTAAGCACAATATATATTAAGTTATACATAATTTAAATATAATATATTTACATATCTAAGACAATAGCCAACCGAAATAAAAATAAGAAAATTAATCAAAGTTTTATTATATTTAGAATAAAAATATTATAGCCGAATTCGAAAAATAGATATTATCCAATATACGAAATTGATAACCATACCGACTATTGATCCAAAAAATAATTAAACCGAAAATAATATATCCATAGTCATATGTATAATTAGAATAATATAAATTATACATATAAATTTATTCAAAACTAAAACTAAATATCAATCAATTATTATAATATTTTACTTTTATGAATATTCATACCCGTGCATGAGCACGGGAAAATCACCTAGTATCAATTTAAACATAAAAAACGTCTATCTTCCAAATGAACTCGTAGACACAAATATAATTTTTTTTCATACAAATTCTTCAAATCAGTGAATCATAATAACACACAAGATTACTTTTCCCTTTTTCATTTGGTAAATGAATTTTCTTTTCATTAAAAATTTGGAAAGGTGACACTGAAGAATATGGTACTCTATATTCTAGCACCTAGTTTGATTTTTTTTTCGTCAAAACAAATATTTTTATAGTCTTACAAATTACGAATATAGTCGGATGTTAATTATGATCTAAAAAAGGGAAGAAACTAACAGCAATCAATATTCAAACCAAGGGCAACATTGTAATTTCAAATGATGTTTACTTATAACATTTGGCGTCGAATAAATTCAAATAGATAGACATCAAAAAGCTCTGAGAAATTTAATAGAAGTTCTTGTGAAGCAGATGATCCGATCTTTCCTTTTCTTCACCAATTCACACACAAAACACAGATACACTGCAAAATACACAGAAGCTCAGGAAGAGATTGACATAGACAGAACTAAAAAGCCATCTTTTGTGTTGCTCCTTTCTGCATTATTTTCTTCCTCTTTTATATCTTGGTCGGTCCAAGAACCTCTTTACGCAAAGGTTTCTTCTAAATAAGAAAAAAAAAATTAAAAAGACACAACAAACAAGACTTTCTTGTTCTTGTTTTTGTTTAGAATTTTTTTAGTTTTATGAGATGAGAGCAGATTTGATTACAATACAGCAAACGCTGACGCCAGAAGCAGCGACTGTTCTCAACCAGTCAATCGCCGAGGCAACACGTCGCAACCATGGCCACACAACACCCCTCCACGTGGCGGCCACTCTCTTATCATCACCCTCTGGCTTTCTCCGACAAGCGTGCATCAAATCCCACCCGAACTCCTCTCACCCTCTCCAGTGCCGAGCTCTCGAGCTCTGTTTCAGCGTCGCCCTAGAACGTCTCCCTACTACTACAATCACCACTTCTCCACACGAGCCGCCTCCGCCGCTGCTCTCAAACGCTTTGACCGCGGCTTTAAAACGCGCTCAAGCTCATCAGCGACGCGGTTGTCCTGAGCAGCAGCAGCAACCGCTTTTAGCGGTTAAAGTCGAGCTCGAACAGCTTATCATATCGATTCTTGATGATCCGAGCGTTAGCCGGGTCATGCGCGAGGCTAGCTTCTCTAGCCCCGCGGTGAAAAACGCGATCGAACAGTCGCGTTTTGGTAATTCAAGAAGAACCGGAATCGTTAACCAATCTGCAATTGGATTCGGTTATCGATCCGTACCGGTTCCGGTTAGCCGGAATCCTTACCTTAATCCCCGGTTTCAGCAAACCGGTTACTTAGGAGAGAGCACAACAGAAGAAGCTAAACGGGTCGTGGAGATAATGAACCGGACCCGGAAGAGAAACCCGGTTCTCGTCGGCGATACAGAGCCTCAAGTTCTCGTGAAAGAGATTCTCGGGATGTTAGAGAACCGGAACTTTAAGGTGATCCGGTTAGATAAGGAGTTAGCTTCTTCAACTCGGTTTTGTGAAATCTCCGGTTTAGTGGAAAACCGGTTAAGAAACTCGGAGTTAACCGGTGGTGTGGTTCTTGATCTAGGAGATTTGAAATGGTTAGCGGTTAACGGTGGCGGAGGAGGAGCTGTGACGGAGATGAGGAAGCTTTTGGAGAGATACAGAGGAAGGTTAAGTTTTATCGGTACTGCCACGTGTGAGACTTATCTACGTTGTCAGGTTTATTACCCTTCGATGGAGAATGATTGTGATCTTCAAGCGATTCCCATCGCCGCTAAATCTCCTCTTCCGACAATGTTTCAAAGGTTTGTCTTTTTTATTTTTCATTTATTCGGACCAAAGTTTCGGTTTATAATTTTTTTAAAAGTTAATCGGACTAAGGTTTCAGTTTTTTAATTGTTTTTTTTTTTTGGCCAGGTTTGGGAGCAGTAACATAATCTCAACTGAATCGATATCTCCGACAAGAAGTTATCAGATTCCGACAGGAAAAATGAACTGCTGCTCTCAGTGTTTACAGAGTTACGAAAACGACCTCGTAAAACTGGAAAAATCGTTAACCGGAAATAACCGGCCGGTCTTGCCGCCGTGGCTGCAGAACGCTAAAGCCGATGACGTAGGTGACAAGAAACTTGTAAGTCTTTTTTTTTGCTCAGAAACTTGTAAGTTTTATTGATAAATTGCTTCCAACATAAATTTAAGTTGAAAATTTAATTTATAATATATTGTGAAAAATGTGATTTTTAATATAAATATTTTTTAATAAGTAAGAAACAAGAATGTGAAAATATAATTTTTGATATAAATATTTTTTTTTTGTAGACGAAAGATCAAGAGATTGTGGAGTTACAGAAGAAATGGAACGACTTATGTTTACGTTTACATCCAAAACCAAACTCAAAATCAGACATAACTCCACCAGGTAGTCCGGTCGGTACAGATTTGGTACTTGGACGGTCCAACAGAGTTGTATCCATATCCTCACCAGACCACAAGACTCGAGATGATTCGTTCGATATAAATCTATTCAAGAAGCTACTAAAGGGCTTAGCTAAAAGCGTTTGGTGGCAACACGACGCCGCGTCTTCAATAGCATCAGCGATTACAGAACGCAAACACGGAAACGCGAAGTCAAAGGGAGATATTTGGTTGATGTTCACCGGTTCAGACCGTACCGGGAAGACCAAAATGGCGTCTGCGTTATCAGATCTTGTCTCTGGAAGCAAACCGATAACCATCAGCCTTGGCTCTAGCTCTAGAACGGAGGAAGACGGTTTAAGCCTTCGTGGTAAAACGGCGTTGGATAGATTAGCGGAAACGGTTAGGAGAAACCCGTTTGCGGTTATTGTAATGGAAGATGTAGATGAAGCTGATGTGTTGGTACGTAACAACGTGAAGCTAGCGATGGAACGTGGGAGGATATCTGATTCGTATGGACGAGAGGTTAGTCTTGGAAACGTTATTATAATTCTTACAACGAACTCATCGCTAGGTTTAGCTGAAAACGTTGCTCCTATCGATGAGGCAAGACTAGAGAGTCTTGTCAGCAAAGGATGGAGATTGAGACTATCTGTATGCAAAAACCGAAAACGAAAACCGAATTGGCTTTATAGTGAACAAGAAAAGATGAGGAAGGAGATATGTTTTGATTTGAACGAAGAAGCGGCCGAGTTTGATTCGTCTAGTGATGTAACGGTGGAGAATGATCAAGAAGATAGTAGTAGCTTTGTTCACACGCTAGTGGCTTTAGCTGACGACGCTATAGTCTTTAGACCTGTTGATTTTGGTTTGATCAAGAGAAAGACTGTAGAGTCTTTGAAGAAACGTTTGTCTAATGGATTAACGGTTGAGATTGAAGAGGATGCTCTGGAGAGAATAGCGGGTGCGGTTTGGCTCAGCAAGATTAGCTTAGAGGAGTGGCTAGAGGAAGCAATGGGTTCGAGTTTGAATAGTGTTAAGTCTCGGGTATATTCTTTGGAAGATTCTGTGGTTAGGATTGAGCTTGAAGATGATGTGAGTGATCGAGTGTCTGGAGGTTATCTTCCGAGTAGTGTAAGAACGGTGGTCGTTTGAGTTTCTTTTTTGTTGTGCCGGTGAGGGGTAGATTCGTAATTATGGGAATTGGTAAGGGGGGAAAGATGTACATATGATTATCTTTTAACCGTCTTTGGCGGGGAGAGGAAAAGTTCGGTAATATATCAAACGGTAAAAAAAAGAATTAAAGAAAAAGGTTAATGTTTCTGTTATAGAAAATCAACGGCTGAGAACTTCACAGGGTATATAATCTTATATAATATAATCGACATTTCCACACAAAGAAAAACAAATAATGAAATTAACTAAATAAATAGGGACATAGTGGATTTTTATTTATTCATTCAAGGTTACATTTGATTATTCTTTCGTATGTTTCTGCTTGGAGTTTAATGGAATATATTATAATCTCTTAGCAGATCGAATTTTAGAAATTATACTGTACTATAGTATTATGTATATACAGAGGACATTGATTTCAGCAGAAAGTTGTACTTTTTAATATTAGGTGGGTTCTGCTAGTATGTGGTTTGTTTGTTTTTTTTTTGTGAAACGTATGTGGTTTGTCTTTATTTCACCTTTTTAGAATGAAAGCAGCAAATCCAACCACTCTCATGGACCAAATATTTATTAAAAATTCCCCAGTATCAGACTTAAATAACTCACTCTTTTTTTATACATTCATATAACTATATATATTTTTGGAATTCTTTAGCTTTTGGTTTTATCTATCGAAATAAGTTGGGGTAAAACAAAGTAGTGATAATGATATTAATACTAGAAAGATTGATAATGTTTCTTACTTGATATTAAACTTGAATAACATGTACAAAAGATTTCTACTGAACATTGACAACAAGATTTGTACTTGGCAATGTTTCCATAGTTCATAGGGTTTAAATTAGGATTTTGGGTAACATCTTGACTTTTGAGTTTATATTTCATTGGAATTTAACCCGTCTTTGAGTTCCACTTGTGGGTCAATACGCGATTTAGAGACTTGTGACTCCAAAACAAAGTTGAACACTACCAAACCAGCTTTGACGAAAACGTATTCAAAACTCAAAATGTAAAGCGGTCGGTCGGACCACGCGTAGTGATCGGTTCTTTTGTGCTCTTGAGGTCATAATTTGATTTTATCATTTATGACCATTTATTCAAAGCTTCAACCTACAAACCGGTCACCGATAATAATAAATTTAAACCTAACAATGTATGATAACAATTAAACGACTAAGACACTTGGTCTAGTGATCTAAACTACATGATGCCATGGCTTTCCATGTTCAATTTAGACTGCTACATTGAATTTAAAATTACATCAGCCATATCCACAATTTATTATATGTAATCATGAACGGAGTAGTTACAATCTCTTTCATATAAGTTAATTCTTATGTACAAAACATTTTATAACTAAATCTACCGCTTAACAACAATGACATGCCAAGTGAGTTCACATGGTCCATAATCCTATATTTATATCTTATCGAATTTATCCATAAAATTTTCACACCATTCTCAAATTATGTATTGTAGTAACAGTACATCTAATAAAAAAACATCTTCTGCCGAGATTGCATATCCGTAAATCGTAATGATATTCTATTGGTTAGAAACTCTTATAAACTACTTACTAAGTACACAAAAATGATTTTTTTTTACTCACTCCAAAATACATTCGTTTGATGTAATATTCAAGAATTACTTTTGGCTTTTACAAGTCAAAATAATTCCGGTTCCCTGGTAGACATTTGAAGACAAAGCTTTCAAAAGTGCCTTTTTCCTTGGCCTTTTTAGATATTACAATACAGTTGTAATATTTAGGAGTGGAAGATAAGAAAGAAGTATTGTGGTACTTAGTGTATACATGATTAAAGGCATATCCAATACCTTTTCAATATTAGAAAAATATGGATTTGTTTTGAAATAAAGCAGGTCTTAACTTAATTATTGACAACAAATTATTAAGGGTATATACTTTAATATTAATTTCAAAGAAAAGGGGGTTTAGCCAAAGAGAAGCACTAGAACAAGGAGAAGACAAACCAAAACATGCCTTTATATCATCTGATTATTTAGTTAAATAAATGGACCTTATGGTCTCGCTACCTTTTTGGTGGATTTGCGTTATGTCACATCATCTCATAGTTAAACTTAAACATATCATCAGCCAAAAGTAAAAACTATTAAGGCATGAGACACTCTAGTATTGAAAATTCTTAAATATTAAACTAGATTCAGTTTATCTCACACAAAAGATTCATCATGCACCATGCCAATACTTGATATTGAAGTGACAAAAAGAAACTCATAATAACAGCAATGTTATAGTGTAATTGAAAATTCTTCAAGTGGAAAATAAAAATAATGAGCAAATGCTGCAACTTTACTCAAAGACATGTTTCGTATTTAATTAATATGTTGTATTTATTTTAATTATAACCATGAAAAGGACGTAAATTAGAGATAATCATTTACGAATATAAGTATGTATGTATAAAATTATATATTATAGCTAAAAGGGGTCACAGATCTCCACCTTGAATGATTGAAACCTAATGTTGAATTTGAGCTTTTTAGAAAGGGGACATGAACTTAACTTTTGTATTGAGCAACTACAAACTTAGGTACAACTACTATGGTATCTCTTGACATATGCATGCATTATGTATATGTGTAGATCTTTTTAACAATCATATTAACTTGCAGATTAACTATTCAAAAGAAATGTTTAAAGCCATATATTACTCTCTCCATGTTTATTACATGACGTATTAGAAGTTTTTTTTTTCTAAATTAGATATGTTTTCAATTTTAATGTACAATTTATCAATTTTTTTATGTTGTATAACCATTTGTAGTCTGATTTTGTTTATTGGTTGAATTGTATTTGAGTGAATAATTAATGATATATTGTGCTATGTCTATCGACAATACCATTAAAAATAAGCATATAAATTGTATAAGCACTTTTTTTTTGTAATACAAAATACGAAAAATCCCAAAAAATCCAATTACAAAATACTAAAAACCCCAATTGATTGAATTGTATTTAGGTGAATATGGTTACAATCGGAGTTAAACTCGACGGTCCAACGATAACAACTAGAATGACACTTAACGATATTATGAACAACAAAAGTATAAGGATAAAACAGAGGATAGAGATGTTACAAGGAGAGATTTTCTCATCATAAAGAAACCTCTGAGAAGACATCACTTGTACTCTTGAAACGATTGCTCCAGCAAGCATGAAATAGTTAGAATCGATGTTGATGAAACTAAAAAGAAAGGTTTGGAAGGCGGTATAGTTGCCCGTGGAGAAGCTGGTTGTGGCAAAGTAGCCCATTAGATAAGTATTAACACCGACAAAACTTTCTGTAAAGACTATATGAATTTCGGATAAATCGGAAAACATAGTCCGGCAAGAGTTGAAAAACTCCAGAACCGTAGTCAAGAGGTCTGAATTGCCTGATTTTAGAGATAAAATGCCAGTATGACCTGGTCTAAAGCCGTTGATGGTATCTCCATTATTAGCCTCTGTCAGCGTGTACTCGCGCAATGTCCCGCTACATGAATATGAACCTGTGTTTTGATTTGCGAAACAAATAATAATTGCTCATGCCAAAGATCACTAATTTTTTTTACGTATTATTTGGTTAACGAAATTTATAGAACGTTGTCTTACAAGTAATATATATATAAAAGACTTTTAAAATCACCTGCTCAGAATCCATCATTACATTGAGCCGGTCATGTTACGAAAAGAGAAGTCCAATATGTAAGTAATCCTGTAATATAGACTATGATTTGATCCGACATCTCGGTCAATAGAAAAAGAACTTGAACATTCTAACTTTTCACCATGGACTAAACTCATCATTTGTGTTATATGTCTATAGATTATGTCAACTTTGAAACTAATATGCAACTTTTCTATGCGTAGAAATTCTAAAACTTTTCTATATATATGATTGCTAATAAGTACTCCATACGTTTCAAAAAGTTAAACGTTTTAGTTTTTGCATACATATTAAAAAAAAAACACTTTAATTACCAATACATCATTTATTATAAATAACAAATCCTTATAATTTTTAACCAATAGAATTTTAAAAAACATAATTAATATTTTTAAAATCTACAATTTTTCATTAAATTATACATTAAAAATGTAAAAAATACATCTTTTTGAAATAAATATTATTTCTAAAATGTTCATCTTTTTGAAACGAATGGAGTAACTATTAAGACATCTTTTTGATCTTTGTTCTTTGTTGGGGATCAAAGATCTTTTTACTTGCACATCTTTTTCCTCGTCTTTTACATTCAGAGAACTTAAGAAACGTTTTCTTTATATAACCTTCCAAGTGTAGATTACAAAACATGTTTACATGTACAAAAACAAAACCCATCTGATATCTTTATAGTTCCCAGAAGACAAGGAAACTCTATAGATAGTGTAGTAATTATCATTAAAATCTCCTGTGTAACTAAAAAAAATAAGTCAGTTTCTTGTCTGTTTATTAAAAATCAGTCAATCATCAGGCTCAGCAGAGAAATCAGGATCTTCAGGTTTCTTAACCCGAGGCCTCTGAACTGCAACACCACGTCTTGTATTAGCTGCAAAACGTGAAGCCAAAACCATAACACCAATATTCATCTTTGCTTTTGGACTAGACTCAACACACTCTTCTTCTACTTCTACTTCTTTCTCTTCATCACTTTGCCTCGTCTCAACCGCAGTGAGATGATTCTCCATAGCTCTCCTCTTGTACCTGAGCCAAGCAGCTTGTATAAAGCAAGTAGCCCAATTCCTCCAGTGATGAGAGTAGAATCTAAAAGTATGTTGAAGCTTCTTGCTGTGTAGTCTCCTAAACTGATTAGCAACAAACTTCAAGTCTTCAGCTCTAAGAGCAAATGCTTCTACTTCAACTGAGGCCTTTACTGTTCTTGTAGAAGAAGGTAAGTTCAAAGTTGATTTTGGAAGTAAAGCCCAAGAGAGAAGCTCTTCACCACAGAAATCACCAGGTCTTAGGATAATTGAGTTGAAGAAACCGGTTCTGCCTCCATTGGTTGTGGAACTCTCGAGTCTACCTCTGATGATAAAGAGCATCTCAGTGATTAGTTCACCTTCGCGTACAAGGTATGTCCCTTCTGTACACAGAGAAGAAACTAGACGCTCGCATATTGCATCAAGGAGCTGATCATCCATTTGGGAGAAAAATGGAACCTGCATGGTTCAGAGAAACACATTTTTGGGGTTATTAAAAGTAGTGATAACACTTATGAGAGAAACTAGGCTTGACAGAACCAAACCAAAATGTTCGGTTTTTCGGTTTAGTAATCGGTTCGTTTGGGTTTCTACAAAAATAACCAAACTATATCTTAACAAAACTTCGAACCGAATTAACCAAAATTCAAACCGAAACAACCAAACTTAACCGATCTTTTTCATTTTTAACCAATTTAAACCGAAATTAAAAACTCCGGTGGAAATTTTTGAAACCGAACTAACCCGAAAGCCGAATCAGTTCGGCGAAATCGCCGAACCAAACTAACCGAGTTCCAAATCAACCAAACCAGCATGCCTAAGAGAAACTATTGCAGCTAGCAACCAAAACTAAGACCAGACCAAACTCTGGACTGTACAGTTAAAACCATTTGTAATTCAAAAAAAACTTACTCTTCTAACAAGGTCTAAGCATAGGTGCCGTTGAATGTCACGGCGAAGATCAGTAGGTAAACTTTGTAGGAGAATCTCTTCATCTACTCCCCTTGTTGCAAGCCACTTATACTGCTCATATCTCCTCACACGGTTTCTCAACTCTTCAGGAAGTTGGCGATGTCTCATCCACTCCTCAGTGTCTCTCTTCTTAAGTCTCCATTCCTCAAGCCGTACAGTCAAAGATTGCAAGTATGTCTAACAAACAAATCAAGAAACATAAGAATAAGAGCCAGAGAGTTGTTCAAACCATGCTAGTGGAAGAACCCATACCTGCATGTTCCCAATGAGATGAGCAAAGAGGACAAGACCAAATATTGCAATAAGCACAGCAAACATGGTTTCACCGATGAATGTTGTAGTGGACAAGTTCTGTCCATAAGAACTGAGAAAATGATAATAAACATCAGAACTTGTAATTTGGAAAAGGAGAAGACATGACATCTAAATATGTAACTCACCTAAGCTGTTGCAATCCCCACCACAAACAGTAGAAATATCTCTCACTAAAGTTTGAAGACACAACTTTTTTAGTCATAGCATTCTCAAACATTCCATACTTGAACTCCCCCTTTCTTGCATCGCAGAGTTTAAACACTTTTGTGACATTTGCCCATTGTAGCTGCCTAGAGTCAAAGAGTGAATCACAGTCTAGGTAATAGAGATAACAGTTAACTCCACCATCTTCTTTGCTGCATCTAGATTTCCAGCATGATGTGTATCTATCAAATGATAGTATATACCATGCTGCACCAAGCACCTGCACCAAACAAAAACACCTTAACTATGTTTACCTATTAATAATCGACAGTGTTCTAAAAATTGGTCTAAACGATTTTTTAAAATATCGGTTTAGGCACTCAAAAAAATCGATTTAGATTTTTAAAGCGTCTAACTAGCGCCTAGCGAGTTCTTGAACATTGATAATCATTATACCAGAGGAAAGGGATACATACATGACTAGCTAGCATGTAAAGCAAGAGATTATAAGCAGCACCAGCCCAAGCAGTCTTTGTAACAACTCCAGTAGCTTTAACTATCTGAGAGCTTAAAGGAATGATCAGATAGAATCTAGGAATGTACTGTAAGAGCACAATCAAAGCAAGATTGTTGTTGCTATGATCAAACCGGTAAATCCTCGTCGCGGGCATAACAAACCAGATAACTAACTGAGGAAGTGGCAAGGTTGCTACAAGATCAATGATGAAGTCAGACTTAAGATACCTCCAAGCAATAGCCTTGGTATCCATCACAAGCTCACCTCTACCAAACACTCTAGTACTCGAGTTAGGAGCTATGAAGCCTGTCCTAAACTTGATGAAAATGTGGAGCAAGTAGAAGAGATCAGCAATGGTTCTGAAGAAGGTGACAAGGAGTCTCAAGTTTGTGTCTGTCCTTGCGCAGGGATAGTCTTTACTTCCACCAATGGCTGGGACAAAGAAGTATAAAGGGTCGATGAAGAGAGCAACCATACATGAGACGATGAAGACCCAGTTCCATTTCAAGACAATCTCACTTCCTGGATCAAGAACTGTTTTGTACCATGAGAGTTTAGATGGTTTGGACTTGTTGTTGTTGTTGTTGTCAGTGTATCTACTGATTCTATTGCTAGACAAGAGGTTATCAGGTAAAGAGAGTTTGTATGATTTGGTCATTGGATCATTCATTGGCCATATGGTTTCTTTGCTTTCTTTCCCATTTGAATAAAACCTGTAAAGATAAAGAACAATGGGTTCTGTTTTTTTAAGCAAAAACAAAAGTTCTAAACCGTAAATAGTGATTAGGTATAACAGAAACTCCACTTGTGTTATCAAAAAGAAGAGAAATCTAAGAAAACTTACATAAGAAGCTTGTCCTTCTTCAACTCCATTACAAGAAGAAGAAGAAGCTGGAGAAAGAAAACGCTTTTGATCCAAACAAAGTTAAAGAAAGAGACGTTTTTTTAAATTTTATTACAAAACGTTTTCGTTGCTACTCTCACTCTTTAACGTCTCTCTCTCTCTCTCTCTCTGAATCTGAGAAAGCTTGTTAATTCGAATTGAAAGGAGGGAATAACTAAACTGAGTCACGAGACGAGTCAGAGAGCGTATCTTCTTTTGCTTTTAAGAAAAGAGAATCTGGAGGATATTTGTTTTTTTCAGAATATTTGCCTCATCGATGTAATAATAAGACAAGAAAGTCAAACACGTTTGACCAGAGTCACTAGTAGTGTAAAGTTTTATAAACTGGTGTTATGGTTTTTTTGTGTTTACATTGCCTTGTAACTTGTAGTGAAACACTTTAATAGCCTTGTCGTTAGATCCAATGACTTTTATCAACTGAATCGCAACTTTTAAAGAAACCCAACTTTTTTAAAGCTTGTAAATAAAAGTTTGCAATACTTCATCATGAAACTGAAGCAGAAACATTGATGAAAAAGACAACCTCATCATAGACAAATCTCAAGTGAGTTACAATGAAATCATCAAATTGACAGAAGCAACATGTTTTAGAGTGACAATCTCAAGTGAATTTATTTATCAGTATTTCAATTTAAGTCTCATGTGTTATCCCTACTGAATCTGATCAGAGGAAAGATCAAAACTTTGAAACAGTATAATTTTGCTTACTAATGAGCTAAAGGGACACTCTACAAAGCAGCTAGTAAAAATATTGCTAACACTTAAAACTCCCAATCTTTAACTTGACAAAGATTGAGTTCAGCAATTGGTATAACATTCAAGTTCTTAGGATCCAACCCTTGAATGCTAATAAAAGAGAACCAATTCATCACTCTATATTGGGCCAGAATCAAACACTCAAGGAAGAAATAAGCTTCAACTGAATTGGGGATTCGTGAAGAAAATTTATACAACAGAACACTGCAGCAAAACAATAAGCTTTTCGAGATTGCATAACTTCATAGGAACGGGGAAAAAAAATATTTGGCACCTTTCATTACTATTTAGTATTTACACACAAGAAAAAGGAAGAAACAGACTTTCAATCTGGCAATGTATCTTCACTTGTCCACGTTGTTGTTTATGGACTATATATTAATCCGAAAAATACAATTAGTAACCAACCTATCAACACACAGAACCAATCTTCCAAACACACCTCATCCTCATCATCAATTCAACTAGCGTCTACTCCAGTTCATTCTAAATTTCTCATCACATCCTACAAATGCAAAAAAACAAAACTTTCAACAACAAAACAAGAACAATGTCTTTAACATTCAAGTAAAGAAGATCCAAAAGGACTAAAGAAGACTTACGAGTAGGAACAATAGGAGTTAAATCGATTTTAATCTTAAGTGCATCGATCATATCAAGAACTTCTTCGTTTCCAGATGCCATAAACACTCTCAAAACTCTCTCATTCAACTTCCCAGCATTCAACGTCCTCTTCTCCATTACCAAAAAAGAATCAATCAGAGACTAAACTTGATGATATCTCAAATAATTCACTAACAAATCAATAATTACAAAACACATCAAACATGTATTCTGAGCGTAAAGGTTTTAACTTTACACTGAATTCGAGAAACCCAGAAGACAAAAGTGATCAAAAAGGAGGAATTGAGATAAAAGGGTGATTTTTTTTTTAATACCTCGAAGAGATCAGGGACGATGTGGTCAGGGAGATGGGAGAGGTCGTTGATGCGTGAGATGTTTAATACGGCGGCGTTTATGGTGAGTGAGAGCAGAGATGGAGGAGGGTTTCTCATCCAATCAAGTCGAGAGAGAGAGAGAGGAAAAGAGGTTTGTTCCACACGAAATCTGTCTTTGATTTGCTTTCTGTCGTCTCTTTCGTCCTTCTCTTTCAGACACGTTTCTTGTCTTTTTTTCCGCGTTTTTTGTTATAAAACGCAAAATGTAGCGTTAAAATGCTTATGAACAAGCCCACTACGTTACTAAAAATAGAAGCCCAATAATGTGCTTAAATTAATAGAAGCCCAACAATGTGTTTTTTTTTTTTTGTTAAAATGCTTATGAACTGCACTCTCAAGCCCACTACGTTACTAAAAATATAAAAAGTGAGCTTTTTGTATGTTTATAGATTTTCTTTACTTTTGAGGTGACTACCCCATGTAAAGATGAAATCATTAATTAAAAATTATGTATACGCTGGAATATTAGTGAGTAAACAAATCAAATGTTATTTTGACTTTGTATAAAACCGGTATAAGTACAAGATCGATGGTTCATCCCTAAAAGAAGTATTTAGCCATTGTTTTTATTTCGTTTAAAAAAACTCTAGCTCAATGTTGTACATAAAATGGTTTTTTGGGTTTGAATTAACTTTACACTCTATTGAAAACCAGTAAAGTAAGTTGTAGTGGAAAACAACTCTTTATGAGGTTTCATCTAGGTGAATGTGTAGATCTACGCAAGAGTTCGAGTTCTTAACAAAACATTGAAGGCTTCATTTGAATGGTATGACAAAGTTTCCGGATGGTTTTGCTTAGGAATGAGACATTATAATATTTCTTTTACAATTTTTATATAGTTTTTATATAGATGGGCAGTTAAGTAAAGGGTCTGGAATTTATTAGCAAAGCAATAAATGTTATCTGTATAGCACATGGGGATTCTTTCTTTTCCTCTTTACAAGGTTCCATGTCTCATTAAAGATAGAGTATACCTCCTATGTATATGTGTATTATGACATTTTAGTATTGTTTCGTGAGAAAGGTGTCGAATGCAGAAAGTTTCAACATTGACTAATCTCTTAATTTCAAATCTAGATGGGATTATTAGAGAATTTACAACCATGTAATGACAAATCAGTGGTTACAAGAGTGTCGGAGATCTAACTTGAAAACTTCATTGTCCCATTGATCCCAACCCTAACATGTTTGTCATTATTTTCACATTAAAATTATTACTTAAAACAAAAATGAATTAGCTGGCCTAAGCTTTTACTGTTTTATATGCTCTTGCGTATAAATTGTGAAGTCTACCACTTTTATTACGTTGTTACTCAAACGAATTCTATAATATATAAATTAGCTTGTGCATATATAATTTACTTTTTGCAGTGTTCTGTTAAACAACATCCAGCCTGTTTCGTGTATATGAGTCCAATCTCTTTCTTTGAGTATTATTTATAGTATTAGTAAACATCTTTCAAAATGTCCAAAGTTTTGTTCCACATGCTAACATCAATGATTTTGACATCTTTAGCATATACAATACGGTATTTAGCTATCCTGTCGCTTGCCTCGGTCCATCTTCGAGGTATGACGGGTTCAAGTTCCACCTAGTCAGCCATTTTATTAAAAAAAAAGTGAGAAATAAAATAAAGAAAAAGCAATACGTAGACCCAAAAAATAAGAAGCAATACTTTCTCGAGTCAATTTGCTTAAAATATTAAAAGATGTTAGAATATTTTAAATTTGGGGAGAAATATTGATAATGGAAAAAGTAAAAACTGAGGAAAATAGGATAGAAAGTACAAATAAAGTATTAGAACACCCGCAATGGAAATCATTGAGAAATAATCTTTAGAGAAAAAATAATTAAAAAATCAAAATCTAAGGACTCCGGTGGATAACACTATTGCGGATGCTCTTAGTTGTGTGTAGAGAGTGCAAATTCTCTACTTTCTTTGGTCAAAAACAAAACAATACTCCGATGCTTTTTAGTAGATGATTTGCATCATTCGTCGAATTCTGATTTAGGTATTCATCTAATAGTATAAAGTTTTACAAAGTAGCTTAATGTCAACGTGTTGGATTGTGCAAACCTGCCTTGTAAGAAAAAGCACCACTCCGATGACGAGAAAGGTTAACTAAATTAACGTATAAACGGTATGTCTCTCAAATACTATAATTCTTATCAATGTTTTCAAATCAGTTACTTCTTTGTAGATCTAAAAATAAATCTAAGTATGTAAATTTAGTTTCAATTTACATTAAAATTGTTTGTTATGATGTTATTATAAGTTTCTAAAATAGAAAGTGTACACAAGGAAGAGCCGAACGGGCACGTATCATGTTTCGCTAAAATCTAATTATGTTTATACTTGATGATAGTTTGACATGTTAACCATTATAACACTTCATGTAGTTATTATGTCAGTAACTTTATTCTATTCGTCAAGAGGAGCAGGTGACTCCGAAAGAGAACATAAAACCTACAATAGGCAGCAAAATGTATATATTTTGCAAAATGTTTATATTGCTTCAATAATATAATAGAAAAGTTTAACTCTATACTATTATATCTTCTGGAAGATAACTTTTTCGTGTTTTCTTCCTTTAAATTTTTATTTGCCTCCTTTAAGCTTCTTGCTTTATAAAGATTTTGACATATTTACATAACTAGGTAGAAATTTGAAAGGTTAAGAACACCCCCATTGAAGGTTCATGGGGGCAGGGTCGGCCCAAACTATGTTAAGGCCTTATTCAAAATAAAATTTTGGGCCTTTTTTCTTTAAGGAAAAAAAATTTGAAAAAATTTGGGTCATTTTCTTAAGGTAAAAAATCTCAAAATCAGTATGGGCCCTAAGCTGTTGGTTATTTTGCCTCCCCTATGGACCGGGCCTGCATGGGGGTGTCTCTCACGAAAACCAAAAAAAAAAAATTAAAATATAATACAAATGATGAACCTATGGTTTAGATATAAAACTTGTAAGAGCACCCTCATTTCTAATATGAAGATGGAGTTCTCAAAAGAGATTAATTTCTAGTTAATGTTAAAATTTTAGATACTCATCCAATAAGTTTTTCAATGAAAAACTTTTGAAAACTTGTTTAATGGATATTTAATGTTTTGAGAATCTCCTATATCACTTTAACATCTAACTGAAACATCATTCTCATAATATAGATGGAGTTGCTCTAACATCTCAATAGTTAATACCTATATTATACTAATATATATCAGGATGTCAAATATATATACATCATCACAACTACACAAATAAAAAGGTCAATATCTATGATTACCTCGATTACGATACGGATAGTACGTATTTTATTTTAACTTTTTTGGGAAACTCTATCACTACTGGATAATAAGACTAATAGCAAGTACATAGGACAATATTCTTAGATTTCACATTGAGTCATAAAACAGAAATGCATCGAACCTTCTTAAATATTTCTGACTTCTTGTTTCGTCCTTGATCTCACTTCTTTTCCAGCAAAGTTAAAAAGTTGATCCACTGCCCCCCAAAAAATAGTGCCAATATTGTAGTACTGCTATAGTTCTAGACTTCTAGTGCTAGTAGATAGGATAACCTGTTGAGAGTTTCGTGTGAACCTTTTGAAATAGCCAAATAGGGTTTTGTGTAAATATATATAGAACAAATTTAAAAGAATGGAAAAAAAGGAAAGTGTTCTCTTCTGGTTTGACTTAATAAGCCGGCCCCCACTAATCTCGATAATCAGACTTACTCTGCTTCTAGTTCCGTGTCCTTCTGTCCTATGTTTTCCAATTTCCAAAATTTTATAAAACTATTTTATGCACAATGTAAAAGAAAAAGTGTTCTCTGTTCACAACCAAATACTAATTCTTTTGCTAGAGACGAGTAATATATTGCTTTCAGTGCTTATGAAGTAATAAAAATATTGCTAGTAGTTTGTTTCAGCGTAATGAAAGAAAAATAAACTGAAACATCCTCACAATCACAAACACAACTTTTTTTAATACAACTTACTGTATTTGTTTCCAACTTGAAACAATTATCCCTCGGGTCCGCTAATTTGAATAATACCCTTTTAAAAAACAGCAGGTAATTTTTTGTAACATTACAAAATAATAAGAAAAAGAATGCATAAAAATAAGGTATTTCCATCTCGAAATGGGAATAATAGCTTGGGATTTGGTTTGTCTAGCTCAAAATTAGGACTCATGTTATGTTCATGATATTTTCCAAATCTTTTTTCTGTGTTTTTATTTTTAATTTCTATGTGCAGACAAGTGATGAAAACTGTTATTTTATGAAAGTAACAAATTCAATAAACAATCAAATGATATTTGAAAGTATCCATGAAGATATATAATATATTTTTCTTTATCATCCTCTAAACTCTTGTGGATTGTGAAGAGGAGGTAGTGTTCTTTGTCTTGTTGATTTAAATGTGGGAGGGGAGCATGGGATTTGGTGAGATCACAATATGTTATTCATGGAAAACCAAAATTAATTAATTTTCTGATTCTCTGATTTGTTTCTTCTCTTTAAACTAATCTTTGATTGACTTTACATGTCTTGACGTTATTTCAGATCCAATCCAATTAATTATTTAACATATTACTACTATAGTTTCCGAAAACCTGCAGATTCAAGATGCACACCCTTTCTTGGTGTAACTGTTAAATCTTAAATGAATATTTCTTTCTCTCTTCTATCATCATCAATGGTCCAACCTGTAACTCTCTCATTCATCACTCTCTTTATCTCTTTCCTTCTCAAAAACCAAACCTCATAAAGAAAAAAAAACACACACACAGAAAACTTCTCTCCATGTCTGAAACTCCTCTTTTGTAAGTAAGAAGCCCTCTTCTTGATTTTTTCTTACAAACTTTTTTGGGAAAACATGATCAAGACAAGACAGAATCTCCTCTCTCCTTCACCACTTCCACGACCTAACCCTCCCAACACAAACTTTGATCTAAACAGTGAGATAAGTCCAAGCATTCTCCTAATAATCATAATCCTCTCCATCATCTTCTTCATCTCCGGTCTCCTCCACCTCCTAGTCAGATTCCTCCTCACACCATCAAACAGAGACAGAGAAGATTACTTTGACAACGTCACTGCCCTCCAAGGCCAGCTTCAACAGCTTTTCCACCTCCATGACTCAGGAGTAGACCAATCCTTCATCGACACGTTACCTGTTTTTCATTACAACTCCATCATCGGTCTCAAGAACTACCCATTTGATTGCGCCGTGTGTCTCTGCGAGTTTGAAACAGAAGACAAGCTAAGGCTGTTGCCTAAATGTAGCCACGCCTTTCATGTTGATTGTATCGACACGTGGCTTCTCTCTCACTCGACTTGTCCCTTGTGTAGATCATGTCTCCTCTCTGATCTATCTCCTCAGCGAGATCATCGTCCTTCATTTCTCCTCGTTCTTGAATCGGGTAGTGAACATAGCTCGAGAGAGATTGCTTGTGTGGCTGACAATGATGTGCATACTAATGATCATTCAAGATCCAGTTCTTTTGTTGGAAACAATGATATTGGACCGACCCGGTTGGATTCGGGTCGTGGAGACCAATACCAAGATGGTGAGTTGGGTGGTTCGGTTGTTCCTTTTGAAGTTAAGTTAGGTAAATTTAGGAACAGTGATATTGAAGAAGGAAGTAATAGTAACAATAACATTGGTAATAGTAATAGTAATAGTAACAATAACATTGGTAATAGTAGTAGTTTAGATGAGAGGAGGTGTTTTTCAATGGGGTCATATGAGTATATAATGGATGAAGAAACTGCACTTAAGGTTAATGTTTCAACCAAGAAAGTACCAAGCAAGAAAGGTCGTTTGGCCGGCCATAGGACGGCTATGTCCGAATGCGGGTTTGATCCATCAGGGAGGTTGAAATTCAATGGGAGCGGATCGATGAGGATCGAGGAAGAGGCCACCGAGAAGAATGTAGTTGGAAGGGAGAGTTTTTCGGTGTCGAAAATTTGGTTAAGGGGTAAGAAGGAGAAGAATAGTAAGGTTCAAGGGAAAGAGGATGGTTCATTGGTTTCATCATCTTCAGGAAGTGCATTCTCTTTCGGGTTATCGAACCAACGGAGTCATCCTGATGCCAAAAACGAAGGCGAAGAAGAGAATCGAAAGGGCGAAAACGCGTCATCTTTGGAGGTGAAAACACCATCTTTTGCTAGGAGGACTATGCTTTGGCTTGCAGGGAGACAAAACAAGGTTGTTCATTCTTCTTCTCCATCTAATGTCTAGTTTCTATATACATATTTCTTTTCAAGTTTTAGTTATTTTTTTAACTGTTACTTTGTGCTAGTCCTCTTAAGCGCAAAACCAGATGAATTATTGTAGAAACATGGTGTTGAGATATATTGTTAGACAGAGATTGATAACATTTTGGTGCGTCATACTTTGCAAATCATTTTCAGTTGTTAAATATATGGACAAAACAATTAATAGTGGACTTAAGCTTCCCATCTAACCAGAAAACAACTCAACTAAATGTCTTGACTGAAAATAAATTGCCGAAGACTCAAATCTTTGGTATGATTGTTGAAGAAGCCGTAAAAATAATTATGTGAATAGTAGTGTTCATCTTTTTGGATGATGACTTTCTTTCTAAATGTATAATTGAAAGCACAAGTATTCTTTTCAACAATAAAACAAGTTTATAGTTTTCCTTTGAGATACAAGCCATAATTCTAAGAATCTTAGAGGAATAATATTATCTTAGTTTATTTGTTTGTTTTCTTTTTTCTGTAGCATTAGATAAGAAGTAGGTGTAGTGGTGATCAGACAGTTGCATTGAATTGTGGCAATTCTTCATACGACAAAAGAGTGACACATCTTGATTATTGTGCGATGTGTTATACGTATAAAATATATGTTTGTATACGTGTATATGTTTTAATGTTGAGTGACTAAAGTTTTGGATTAATTGGTGAATTAATAACGGGCAAGGAAGCAGTCGGCTGCTATACATGCCCACTAGTCACTTGGTCTTTATTGCGTTGTACATACTGACATACATAGTAATAATATATCCCCTATATATTAATTGAGAAACATTTGAAAAGATGTAACCTCAAGTTTATATTAATTAAAAAGTAACATTGCTTAGTTGTCAATCAATTATCATATCAATTAAACTGACGTGGCGGCTTTAGGTTCAATTGAAATTTGCTAGGGAAAAATAATTAGAGACGCATATAACGCATGTAACATAGTTTATATATTTATATATATCGCACACATGTAATGGAAGAAAAGGAAAATATACGATTTGATAACGATTTGCATATATTAACTATAATAACTTCATTCCTTTTAATTTA